TGCTGGAAATTCTCACCGGAAACACGTAAGTGATAGTTTATTCTCCGATTTGACACTTAAGTGGGCTAGTGAAAACTTTTGACACTAAAGTGAGTGTCGTACGTAACTGTTGGTACTTCTAGTGTCCTTCTACCTCTATAAAGTATCGAAAGCTCTCTGAGAGTATGTGAAACAAACAATTTCTTGTTGCTGGAATGTGTCCACCTAGTTTGTTTAGGAAAAAAAAGAGATTCCAATAGCTGACACTAGCAAGGAACAGTCCAAAATTGTATCTCAGAAATTGTTTTCCGACTTTTCTGTATTTAAATGATGGAAAACTAATCGATTTATGGAAAGCGTTTTCCATAAACTTAAAACAAGCTTAAATTAGAGGAAAATGACTTCCTTTTCTGGCAAAAATGAAATCATTTTCCCTAAACCACCAAACAAATGAAAACTAAAATTTTCTCAAATTTTCTTTTGATTCAATCAATGAGCCCAATGACACATAAAATCGGAAGTCTATAAAGAGAATAATGCGGGGGCACATACGACATGTTTTCCACATAAGGGGATCACAAAAAAAAATCATAAATCTATTGTTTTTGTGTTAATTTAATCCTAAATTTTTCAACATGGCAAATTTAATCCTAAACCTTTCAAGTGTACCAATTTAGTCCTAAACCTTTTGACAATTTGCCAATTTAGTCATTTTAGCTAATTTTTGTCATAAATAACTGACGTAGCGGTTTAGTCAGGGTCATTCATCCTACGTGGTACGCGACCGACTCAAATGTGAACAATTTTTGCAAATCTTTTATAAAATTTTCTGGGCATTTTCTTTTTTTCTTTTCTTTTCTTTTCTTTTTCCCTTTTTACCCAAATTCCCTCCACCGGCCTCAAGCGACAGTCGCCTCACCTAGCAAGGATCAAGCCTTGTCGACCATTAGCGAGGCTTGACCTTGCCGGATTTGGTGAGGTTGAGCCTCGTCTAGCTACTAGCGAGGCTCCACCTCGCAAGAAAAAGAGAAAAATGAAATTAAAAAAATCAAAAAATGTAAAATATTGTCCACATCCGCATTGACCGTCCTACGTGGCACAGTCAATTAACTAGAATGACTAAATTGGAAAATTGTCAAAATATTTAGGACTAAATTTGTTAAATTAAATTATTTAAGACTGAATTGGTATAAATGCAATATGCTTAGGATTTTTTGGATAATTTTCCCCACATGGGAAGCTGCTCCCAATCCATGCGTAAAGAAACCTCTCATCACCAACATACAGTCTCATTTGAGCCCCTCATAAATCGACATTTACATTACTAAAACGTGAACTATGATGAGTTATGCGTGTTCAATGTTCATGAACACTTTAAAATCCTTCCTAAAAATGGCACATATAGTTCATAAACTATGGCTCAATGTGCAATGTTATACTTAAATTTTTAATTCGTTCAATGTGATCCTTGAACTATTTTAAATGCTCGATTTAGTCCCTATACCTTCGATTTGTTCAATCTAATCCCTCAACTTCCAATAGAAAAAGTTAAAGAGTTCTCACAATTACACCATTGACCGAATTTTAGGATATTCTTTCACTTCAATCTAAATTTTAAATCAACAAAAAAGATAACTTTCTTTTTTATTACTTCTTTTTTTTTCTTTTTGGCCTCTATAAAAAAAATATTACCATAGTTCCATTTAAGTATATTTTAGCTTACGATCTCTATTCGGATTGCTATTCTTGCTATTTTAGTTTTCAAATTTATAAATTTAACTTAATATAATTAACATGGGAGGCATAACATTTTCTTGATGATCTAGTGGCACGCAAGAGGATAGGGCCTCCACTCACAATCTCTAAGAAAACCCGAAACAAAAAAATTGAAAATTTTATCTATCTAAAAAATTATAAACAAAATTTAGATTAATATAAGTAAGAGAACGTAAATCAATATCGTTACTAAACCTTCTTATAAAAACACTTATTTTTAATATAAAAGAACATGAGCCCCATAAAACTCTAATTGAGGTTATTTTTTTACTATTATAGAGATCATAAGTATATATACTTAAATGGAACTATGACAATATTTATAAAGACCAAAAGGTAAAATGGTAACAAAAAGATAGAATGTTTTTTTTTGGTTGATTTAGGAAATTGATTGAAATGAAAAGATATTCTAAAATTTGGGCAATAGCATAATTATGAAGATTTTTTAATAGTACCGAAGGACTTATTTGACTTTATTATGGAAAGTTGAGGGGTTATATTGAATAAATTGAAAGTTTAGGGACTAGAATGAACATTTATGAATAATTAAAGGATCACATTAGATAAATTAAAAGTCCAAAGATGATACTACAAATTAGGTCAAAATTTAAAAACTATTTATGTTATTTTTCCAAATGCGTAGCCGTGTTCCTTGTGACCCCATCCATCTAATCCAAGGCTTGCCAATTCCATCCTTTTTCTACCGTCTTTTTTGACTTTCACCTAGCGATTAGGAGATATTGAATACGTTTCGTTGAAATGTTGGTTTAAAAGTTGATGTGAAAGACTTTCGTCTCGTGTTGCCCACAACTTAGTCGTTAATTGTCATTTTTAGTTAGCTGCGTCATTTGATAATATTCGATTTCACAGGTTGAACTTCGCATCTTTGGTGTCCACATTCTAGTTGAATATTAATCACGTGAGAAAAAAAGAACTTGGGCGCATTTGGTAACATTTCTATTTTTATATTCTTTTGTTTTCTGGAACAGAAAAACAACAGAAATTCGTTTATATACGTCAATTAATTTTTTTATTTCCCAAGAATAGAAAAGTGGCCAGTGAATAGATTTGGAACAGAAACAAGAAGTAAAAAAAAAATCTACTTTTCTGTTCCTAAGAACAAGAAGAAAAACAATGTCAGTTTAGAGATACAAATTCATATACCATTAAATCCCAAAACCCCAAACCCTAAAACCCAAAATCCTAAAACCCGAACCCCAAAACCCAAAACTCGAAACCCTAAAACCCAAACCCCCAACTCCTAAACCCCAAAACCCTAAACCCAAAACTCAAAAATCGAAACCCTAAATCCTAAAACTCTAAACCCCAAAACCCAAATCCTAAAACCCGAAATCATAAAACCCTAAAACCTAATACCCGAAATCCCAAAATCCAAATCCTAAAATCCAAAAACCCAAACGCCAAACCCCGAACCCCAAAACCCAAATCCCAAACCCGAAACCCCAAAACCTCAAAACCCTAAATCCTAGATCCCAATCCCAAACCCAAATCCCAAAACCCTAAAACCCAAAACCCTGCCGTTAAACCAAAAATTGAAACCCTAAATCCAAAAACTTTAAACCCCAAACCTTAAAACCCTAAAACCTAATACCCCAAACCCCAAACCCTAAAAACCTAAACCATAAATTCTAAATCCTAAACTCCAATTTTCTCGACCACCACCCGGTATTTGCTTTGTCCATAAGGAGTAATTTTCTTTATGATTGTGTTAAGGTCATCCAATTCTATATTATAATATATTTTGATTATATTTTTAGTCTAGTTTTATCCAAATATGAATTGTTGGGTGCGCATAATAACTATTTTGTTTCTCTGTTTTTCTATTTTTCTGTTCATAGGAACAGATTTGAAATAGAAATCCGTTTGGTAACGCAATTTCATTTTTTTATTTCTGGAACAAATTTCTACTCCAAAAATAGGTTTGGAATAAAAATCAGAAGTAAATTTTTTTACTTTTTAATTTCTGGAACAGAAATGAGAAATAAAAACTCTTCTCATCACTTAGTCTCACTAGTAACCAGCCGCCCACCTGCCACCCCACCGTCGCCGGCCATCGTCCTTCGCCGCCTGCCGGCCGTCGTTCATCGCCGTCCGCCGCCATCCTCCACCGTCGGCCACCTTCCGCCATCTACCTTCCTTCGCTGCCTAACGCCGGCCACCTCCCACCGTCGGCCACCGCTGGCCGCCTCCCACTGTTGACCTCCGCCGACGGCCTCTGGCCGTCCTCCGCCGCCCAACACCGGCCACCTCTCACCGCCACCCAACATCGCCCACCTCATGCCGCCACCCAACATCGCCCACCTCCCCCCGCCGCCCACTCACCGGCGGCCTCCCATCGTCGTCCTCCACCGTCGGCCGCCTCCTGTCGCCATCCTCCGTCGCTGGCCTCCTATCATCATCCTCCACCGTCGGCCGCCTCTCGTCGCCATCCTCCGCCGCCTCTTGTCGCCATCCTCCACCGCCCAATGCCGGCCGCCTCCCGCCACCGCCCGCCGTCCACTGCATCCCGCTCGCCGACCACTTGGAAGAGAGAAATTTTGTGTCGTTATCAAATAATAAATAAAAATTTTGTGTCTTTATCAAACGCATATTTTGGCTTAGAAACTCGTCAATGGAATAGAAATAGCAAAATCAATTTCTAGCCAGAAATTGATTTCTGGAACAGAATGATTATCATTTGTGCTAAGTCTTCACTGACATTTTTATAATTAAATGAAAAAAATTGGGAATAGAAATTTTTAGGATTGTACCAAATGCATTTATGTTTTTTTTTCTATTTTGGGAATAGAAATTTTGTACAGTTACCAAATACTATCTTTTGTTCAGAAACTCGTTTATGGAATAGAAATAGAATTCAGAAACTCGTTTATGGAATAGAAATAAAAAAAACTATTTCTAAACATAAATTATTTTTGGGAACATAAATGTTATCATACACACTCTTACTTGTCGAGCTGGAGAGTAACGTAAGGGGAACCCTAAAGATATTTCCCGAGGTGAAGTTGATTGGCTAGGTCCACATCTTTTTGTAACCAAGTCGTGCTTGCTTTTTGATTTTTTGCCAACATCACGTGACGTCTCTACTGGCAAGTTTCCCTCTTTTTTCTCCCTTCTTTTTTCTCCAATGGAAAACTGCACCACGGTATGTTTCACATGCCCCTTACAGATAGCTCTCTCTCTCTCTCTCTCTCTCTCTCTCTCTCTCTCTCTCTCCATAAGTAACTTCAACCTTTTTGATTTCTTTCCTTAGCTCTCTCTTGTTCTTGGTTCTCAACTTCATTAGAAATGGATGGTTTGCCTTCCTCCGTCCTAGGAGACATTCCAAAACATCAGCTGATCACCAAAACATTGCCCATGTCAAGCGTGAGATTACCACCAGCGCCGTCATGGTCGTCGTCTGGTCCTCATGTCGGCACCACTTCCTCCACAACTAGAGGAAAACCAATAGCCTCAAAGTCCCATGTTCCTTCACCAACATCAATTTTAGAGCCAGTGATGGCCATTAAGTCTCTCTTGGCTTCACTTGCAAGCAAGAAGGGAGAGAGTCTCTCTTTGCCGACACTGATGTTTAAAGCACTAGATGATATCATAATAGACTTCCTGGACCCTCCTATCAAGCCGTCGCTCGACCCGAGAACCGTGCTCTCTGGAAACTTTGCACCGGTCGATGAGCTCCCTCCAACCGAGTGTGAAGTGTTGGAGGGCTCGCTACCACAGTGCCTTGATGGCGCGTACATCCGCAATGGCCCGAACCCACAGTTCGTTCCCCGTGGGGCCTATCATCTCTTCGACGGCGATGGCATGCTTCATTCCATTCGGATCTCTCGAGGTCGAGCCACGTTCTGTAGCCGCTATGTCAAGACGAACAAGTACACCGTCGAGCACAATCTGGGCTCTCCTGTGTTCCCCAATATCTTCTCGGGCTTCAGCGGTGGAATGGCCTCGGCAGCTCGTACTGCTCTCTTTTTAGCAAGAGTGCTCACCAGTCAGTGAGACATTATTGATGTGAAACGTATATCCCTAATTGCTTGAAGTCGAGGCTGCACTAACGTAGTCTCCCCTACATCGAAAATAAATTTTTTGGATTGATTTGCCTAACACGTATTGTAGACAGTCAAACGATGGACAATCCACTCAAATAGACTCAGGGTATGTTACTTGTACACAATCACTGCAATTAACCGAGGGCACACATACCACACACATTAGGTTTCGGATTTTTTTAATAATTTTCCTACTTATTGCAATTGTGCAAATTCGGTTCTACACCTTATTTTACCAATTGAGTCCTAAACCTTTTGAATTTGCACCAATTCAATCTATCCGGTCAGTTTTGGCCGAAAATCTCGGACATGAATGTCAGTCATCCTACGTGGCATAACCGGCACTAATGTGGATAAATTTTAATAATATTTTTCGAATTATTTTTTTTTCTTTTCTTTTTCCTTTCTTTCTCTTTCTTTTTTTTCCTTCACTTCCTTCTTCCTCCGGCTAGTCGCCGGTCCTTGGCGACTAGCTAGAGGCAACTTGCTGGCCTCTGGCGAAGCTTGCCCACCCGTGGTGAGGCTCAATCCTCAACAGATCTTGCGAGTTCGAGCCTCGCTCAATGACGGCGAGGGGCCAAGGCAAGCCTCACCAAAGAAAGTGCATTGCTGGGCCTTGCTCACGATGATAGGAGGTTGAACCGATGGTTGTTGAGTGTTGGAAAACTTGGAGTGGCGGGGCTATATTGATGCTCGACTGGAACGACGAGAGTCATGGCAATAGGGACCTCGAGATGGACTAGATAAGGGACATCGGCATTGGTGTCGTTGGGGCAGCGATGGTAAGGGCTGATCTAGGGCGACTGAGATTTGGTGAGGCTCAACCTTGCTGTCGTTGGGCAGGGTGAGCCTCGCCTAGCCACTAGTGAGGTTGACCTCGCCCAGAGACGGCAAGGTTGAGCCTTGCTAAGGGCTTGTGAGGCTTGCCCTTGCTAGTGGGCAGTGAGAGCGAGCTTCGCCAGAGGCCGGCTAGGTCGATCGGCTGGAGGAAGAAGAAAGGGAATAAAAAAAAAGAAAGAGAAAAAAAAAGGAAAAAGAAAAGAAAAATAAATAATTCAAAAACATATTAAAATATTAATAAAAATTATACATGTCAGCACCGGCCATATCACGTAGGACAGTCAGTGTCCATGCTGACCAAAATTAGTCGAGTGGACTGAATTGGCATAAATGTTAAAGGTTGAGAAACCAATTGAAAAAAAAAAAGTATATAACTGAATTGACACAATTGCAATAAGTTTATGACTTTTTTGATAATTAGAAAGTGCGGGTTATTCCAAAAAAATATCCTTACTATGTATATGGTTCTGTGCTTGATCTGAATGACTTGCCTAGCACACTTTTGCAGGTCAATTCAATCCCTTCAATGGCATTGGTCAAGCAAACACTGGCTTGGCCTTCTTCGGCAACGGCCTCTACCCGCTCGCCGAGTATGACCTCCCTTATTCAATGCGCTTGACGCCGGACGGCGACATCGAGACGCTCGGCCGGCACAACTTTGAGGGCATGCTTTCCATGAGCATGACTGCCCTTTTTTATGATATGATTTAGATGTGTATTTGTTAGGATAGGGTCGGGCCGGGCTTTTTTGACCTGGTACCAAATATAACCCTAGCCCCCCCTCTCTCTCCCTTTCGCTCTCTTCTCTCTCTGCGTCGAGACTCACTTCCCTGGTGAGCTCCATCTCCCGGTTGAGTAAAGTTCATCCCGACGCAGCGACGATCCGATCCGGCAACCCACGGCCGCCGCAGGCAAAACGACCGGAACCGCGCGACGAGCGCGTAACGATTTCATCCAACGCGGCCCAAAAACAAGGGGGCCCGGCGGCGTACCTGCTCTGGGAGACGTCGTAGATCTGCCCCTTGATGGCCATCAGGAGTGGCTTCTTGCGGTCGGCGCCATCGTACTGCCGGAGCTCCTCCTCGGAGATCTCGCCGAGCTGGACGGGCGGGGGTAGGGGCTGCATCTGCTCCTGGAAGTCCCGCGGCCGCTGGTGGTGGTCGGAGGACGAACCGAAGAGGCCGGACACGACGTAGTAGACGGCGAGGCTGAGGGCGACGACGGTGAAGAAGGCCGCCGGAGAGAGGTCGGTGTAGGCGACGATGGAGCCCTTGAGGGTCTCCCACAGCTGCAGCGCCATCGCCGACGTGCTTCGGAAGAGAGAGAAGGGAGAGAAGGTCGCCGGAGAGAGGCCGGTGTAGGACCGCGACCCCAGCGGGGTGGCCAATGCGGACCCCCCGCCGTCGCCAAGGTGGGTTTCTTCCAAGATTAATTTCTTGATGAGATCTTACGTAAATGCAAAGAGAGAGAAACAGAGGAGGAGGAGGAGGAGGCACAGAACAAGCTGCAGAAAAGAAACCCTAAACCCGACCCGGACTAACCCGACCCGACCCTATTCTTGGAGTATATATGTTGAACAGGGTCTTGGGTCGGGTCGGGTCAAGCGAGATGAGATTTCGGGTCAGGTCGGGTATCTGAAAGCCCGACCCGATCCGACCCAACCCATTGACACCCCTAATCCCAAGGTAGACAGGGAAACTGGCGAAGCCTACGCGTACAAGTATAACCCGTTCTTCCCTCCGTTTCTGGCCGTCTTCAAGTTTGACGGGGACGGAGTGAAACATCCCGACGTGCCAGTCCTCTCCCTCTCCTGCCCGCCGTTCCTCCACGACTTCGCCATCACGAGGAAGTATGCTGTGTTCCCCGACAACCAGATGGGAGTGAACCGCAAGGGAGTGGTGTTGGGAGGATCCATAGTCGGCCTGAACCCGAGGAAAGTGCCGAGGATCGGGATCGTCCGGCGAGACGTGGAAAGCGGGTCCGAGATGAGGTGGTTCGATGTGCCGGGCTGCAATATCATGCACATTGTGAACGCATGGGATGAAGAAGATGATGATGGCAATGATGTGGTGGTGATGGTGGCACCAAACATAATGTCAGCTGAACATTTTTTGGAGAGGATGGACCTTGTCCATGGCTTAATGGAAAAGATTACGATCGACCTCAAGGACGGAAGGGTGTCGAGGCGACCAATTTCGGCTATGAATTTGGATCTTTCGGTGATAAATCCTGCATATATTGGGAAATATAGTAGATATGTATATGCAGGCGTTGCTGATCCAATGCCGAAGGTGTCCGGGGTGGTAAAGCTGGATCTGGCGAAACGAGAGGGTACCGGCGAATGCGTGGTGGCTAGCCGGAATTATGGGCCAGGTTGCTACGGAGGCGAGCCGTTCTTCGTGGCAAGGGATCCTGAATGTCCAGAGGGCAAGGAGGACGATGGGTATATCATGTCCTATGTCCACGACGAGAAAGCTAATGAGTCAAGGTTCTTGGTGATGGATGCCGAGTCGCCGGATCTCGATGTCGTGGCCGTAGTGAAGCTACCCCAGCGCGTTCCTTATGGCTTCCATGGAATTTTCGTCCGGGATAGGGACCTAAATAAGCTCTAGGATTGTTACTAACTTGAAGGATTTAGTTTGACGTGGCATTATCGTGAGCGAAGAAGATAGTTACATGATAATGTGACATTCCTTGTATTTTTCTTAGTCGCACCAATTGATGGTATCGTAGATATAGGGGAAAATAACAGCACAAACAGTCCCTGAACTTTAACCTAATGTGTAATTGGATCCCTGAATTTTTAATTTATTCAATGTAGTCCCTGAACTTTTAATTTGTTCAATGTCATCCCTGAACTTTTGGTACATATTCAATTTAGTCCCTAAACTATAAGAAAATGTTCAATTTAGTCCTTCCATCAATTCAACTTCAGGGACTATATTAAACTTTTTCATATAGTTTAGGGACTACATTGAACATGTATCAAAAGTCGATGGAAGATATTGAGCAAATTAAAAGTTGAGGGATTACATTAAATATTGAGCTAAAGTTCAGAGAATACATTGAACAAATTAAAAATTCATGAATCAAATTGCATATTTGACCAAAATTTAGATACTGTTTATGTCGTTATCCCTAGATATGGAGAATCAAACCAAGGGATTTAGAAGTGTTCTTGCACATTAGACTGATTTTGAACTAGGAAATATTTTTGAAATTTCGATTATCAAGTATTCTCTTTTTGTTTATAAAATAAAAAAGAAAAATAATGGGGACTTAATAATAACTGGATTAAGTATTCGGTAACGGAACATTGGTTGCTTTATAATCAAACATGAATGAATTGTTCACGCAAGGCATTGCCTTTCGACGCTTTGGCAATGAAAGGAAAAGATCAGCACAATCCACAATGTACAAGGTGCAGGTAAAAAAATAAAAATTGAAAAATGCACTTTGCCATTTTTAGAAATAAACTATTCGTTCTAGAATTTTTCTTGAACTAATATTCTTTCAAATTAATTATGATTAAATAGATCGAAACATTTTACCAAAAATAAGAGATCCGGATGATTTTCATTACGTGAATAGCAATCGTCACCGGACCGCCTTATTTTAGAAAAAAATTAGCTTTTTTAAGGAAGTTTTTAACTAGTGTACTGTAAATTATTGTGATTAATGAAAAAAGGGATTAGAAAGCGTGGTTAAGTGGAATTAATTTGTTATTCATCTGTTCACATAATCTTGAGAAATTAAGCTTGAAAGTAACATTACAATTAAGTTGCTGTGGTATTTTAACTATTTTGTTAAAAGGTGTAGAACTAAATTAGTTAAATTGAAAAGTTAAGAACTAAATTGACCGTTGTTCGATAAGTTTAGGAATGATTAAACAATTATCTCGTAAAAGGTATAGAGAGAACTTAGTCGTGCTCTTTTTCGAGAAATAGGAAATAATCATCCATTTATCCTTCATTGCACTCAACCTCAATTTCAAACTCGAGGAGAAGATTTATTGTTTGTATTGAGTGATTTTGTCCACATCTGGAAAAAAATTTAATGTAAGGATGACATTTGACATTTTAATATAGTACATAGATAAAATTTAAGCATTTGAAAGCTTAGATTTGGCATTGCAAATTGAAAGAAAGTTTAAAACCTAAACGCAGGAAAAGGACGTTAACGAATAACATGGTATATTGAACAGAAGTTCAAAGATCGGACTTGAATGATTATTTAACGCAAACAATAGCACTTTGAATTTTGTTATTTCCTAGATGAGGTAGGAAATAAGTACACAAAATATGGAGATGCAGCCACAGCTACACATGACAGTGTAGTTAGTTATCAATTAAATTTAACCACAATTAACAAACGAGCAATAAAATTATTACAAATATAGCCATTATGTTTTAAGTTAATTTAATTTTTATTATTTTTATAATCATATTCTATGGACTATATTGTTAATAACTATTAGTTCATATTTATATTTGTAGATAAAGCAATTGGGATTCCTAAATGTAAATTACAATCTTGTTCACAGTATGTTTTCTTGTCCTAACCTTCGATTCAAGCAGCAACGAAGCATAAATAAAGTGGGATCACCGCTCCTGCAATACCCATAATACCAAGAAAAGAAATAGAAAAGGCTATACATCTTACTGATCCACGAGGACATAAGGTCTTTCTCAATTAGAAAGATCAACAACAAATGGAGAACTAGTCTTGAACCCCACAGGAAAAGAAACCCATGAGATTCATTGATCAGTGGACAAAGCTAACTAGAAAGAATAATACCCAGAATTTAACCAATCATTCCATTTTCCCCCAAAAATGACAGCAATAAGTTTTCTTGGAAAGGGTATAAGAAGTGTTATCATGCGATAGTGTAAGAGTTGCCCAATAGCTTCAAAGCCAATGCTTCCATATTAGGGTGCTTCAAATTTATTTCCCTCCGGTCACAGTTTCTTCATCTAATCTGCTTAGGTCAAAAGGAACTACATAGAACAGTAAGAGGTTAATTTATTAAATTCCAGAATTATATGGACATTGTGTTCATTTAACGTATATGTGTTGACAGGCCTGTCACACTGTTCTTTTTCTCTCCAGCTCAGCCATCCAAAACCCCCGGCGTTTTCCCCCGTCACTTGCTTCCTCATGAGACATTCTCTTCAGGTTAACAGAACCATAGTTCCTAGGAACATCGAGAACAAGGGATCTGATAAGCAACCGTGCTTTTCGCAGTCTTTGGTCAAGGTTTTAGGCGTACAAAACCCAATCATCGGAAGCCATAACCATGACTTTTAAGCTCAAGATAACCAGAAAATGTTACTGAGCAGAAGATAAACCCCAGCTTGGTAGTATCTGTCAGATGTCAATCAAACCAGCTCATCAGCACTATGACCGAGAAAAGCGATAGAGGAAGCACACTAGCATGCTTGAGATCTTATATTAGAAGTCAAGGTAGCCCGTGGTCAATTAACTTGGGAAACAATTAATAGAAAAGATACAGAGAGATTTATCTATAAGGAATATAATTTGATTACTAGAAGTAATGTCTTTGGGACAATGCAATTGATTCAATTGGCTAGTGCCTATTATGAGAAGACAAACTGCTCCGAACAAACTCTGTCTCAGCATGCTCAATTAACTTGGGAAACAACCAATTAAAAAAGGAATAGAGAGAGATTTATCTATAAGGAACATACTAGAACAGTAATGTCTTTGCGACAATGCAGTCGATTCAATCGGCTTGTGTCTATTATGAGAAGATAAACTGCTCTGGACAAGCTCTGTCTCAGCAAAAACAATGCAGAAGCTGTCATCCTTTTTTTTTCCTGGATTTTCGAAATGGTGATTGACCTTGTTAAATAAAAATGAAAAAGAAAAAAGATACCAATAGATGCAAAAGAAAAATCAAGATTTGCAAATGTGTCGTATCCTGTTAATTGAAATTGGGTTCTCTATGATACAAAGGAAATGCCTAGATGAGAGCCATACCCAAAATTTCAGGGGAAGAATGCTCTAAACTTTCGCCATGTGTGCCTCAGCCAAAGAAGAGTTTAGATCTTCTCGAGATTGTGATCTCCTACTCTGTAGACACATCTGACTTCTGTGAGGAGACCAGAAAGGACTCATGCCACTAGCATCATATTGCATCTGCCCCAAGCTACTAGAAGAAAAACTATGAGAAACACTGCTAGTTGATGGATATAGAGACGATTCTGTTAGCTGGATGCCACTCCCACCAAGACCATGTCCAAATCCAAAAGGTCCTTGCTGAGAACCACCAATTGTTGGACTCAAAGGCATCTTAACTCTTTGATCGCCTGAGACACCATAATTTATATGCCTTCAAGGTTAAGAAAAACTTATAGGAAAGTGATTACATCAGGATAAACATACGGTTAAAAGAGAGCGAAAGAAACTAGCAAAATAGAACTAGTTGTACAGAGATTATTGAAGATAACAACACTCCTTATGTAACTCTCATCATATTCTGCGGAACCAGTACAAGTCACCCACCTGATTGGAGAAAAAGAATAACAAGATCTGGAAACAAAGGGAATTTGCTGATGTTCATATGATAAGCCAACAAGATTAGTAATGGCCAAGCAGTAATAGTGCTTGGATGTATAACTTTAATGGTACCCACATTATACTGACTACTAGACACTGAGTCAAGTAGTTAGTAAAAAATTTATGATAAACAGTCCAATAGAAATGCTAAACCTGAAGAAGGAAAGAAAGGAAGAGCAGACATCAAGGAGCCTGTGCCTCATGTGAGACAAGACTTGAATAGATTATTACATGGCATCCTACATGTCTCTTCAAGTACAGAAAAAGAAAAAGATAAAATCAAGAGACTGCCTCAAAATTTCAATGCAAGTATCAATTCTAATGCAGTATTAAACTATAGATTGGCATGAATTGGGACTACGAATTAAACCAGTCTGTAAAGATGCTTACCTGAACTGATGGGACTCCACCGCTGGAATCTAAATGGAGAAGGAACATTCAAAACAGATGCTGCAGAAGTACTATTATGCTTGAAAAGTGGGAGATATGGCCTCCTGAAAAATCTTGGCATCCAATTGTAAATGCGTGACAGTGCACAAAGCAGGACAAACAGGGATGTCAGCAAAATTGCGATAAGAAGTACTGGATTTATCCTCATTTGGAGGATTTCGTAACTGTGCAAGCCCATTCGCATGGGAAATGCTTTTCCTGATTCCAAAAGTGCAACTCCAAGTGTCCAAGTGATGCCTCCAGATCCAATAGTAATTTGGTTATCTGTAATGTGCAATCCCTCTCGCAACAATAAAGTTATGTAGGGTGCCCTGAAGCAGTATTGTTCAATAAAGGGCTGTGAGGCCACGCTGTTTTTTGCAACTTCCCAAGTTTTTTCACAGAACTCACGTCCCTTCTCCAACACATCATCCAGTGACGCATCAGCAGTCAGGTTGAAAAACCGATATACCACAAAAAAACCAGACATGGCGTAAAAATGGCCATGAGGACGAGCCAGATTGTCCGGTAGCGCACATGGTTGCAAGTCACAATCAATTCCTGGGCTTCGACGTGACCACTCGGAAATATTAACGGCAACCTTTGCAAGTGCACTGCATTCCTCCCAATTTGGGGCACCAACAAGATGCAGGGAGATTCCAGGTTTCCCACCTTTACCTATCTTTCTTCCCTGAACCACAGGGCTTCCACCCTCTTTAAAATTAGATGCACATTGAGAACAGATATATTGCTCCTTGTATCCGGAATGCAAACAAGGATGTTTAAGCTCTACATTGCCATTCACTAGATCCGTACTTTTGCTTTCAGGAAGAGCCATGACAAGACGAGCAACAGTCTTGTCAAAGGCATCATTCAGACCATATCCAGAGAGAGAATAGGCATTGAGATGATGGTCAATCGCACCTATTCTAAGTTTTAAGCTGGAACTGTTACGCATGTTGTCCTTGCTCTCAAATGTAACCTGTAAGGAGGAGCCGCCAAGATCGAGTGCACCAAATGTTGCTTTCTTTGGCATAACACCTAACATGTGTGTGCGATAGTTTAGAGCAGCCCATCCATAGTAAGCTTCCTCCACTCCGGAAATGATCTTAACCCACTCTCTCTTACAAAAGAAAGGTGAAGTTTTCAATATGGACCATGCATTGTCAAGAAGCCACCTTGAATCAGCATCTGGTAGTCTCCGGACCCCAGCTGTGGCATAGAGAAAGAGAGATGTAGTCTTGTGAGACTGCTTGGGAATTTGCTTCTTTGCCCACCAAACAAGTGGATTTATCGCAGCAGTCAAGCCAGATACATTACGGACCAACTTGTCGAATCCAGGTTCAGTCTCCATTCGATCATATGCACGTCCACTCTGGGATCGGGGTTTCTTCTTTACACCTTCATTGAATGACCTGATCACAAGAGGAAGGCTCCCATCTTTCTTGTAATTAAGAGATGCTTGATATACATAAACTCTAGTTCCCGTGCTCCCACAATCTAAAACGACATAAAATTTGGACGTTCCTCGAGACCAATATGCATGGGCATACATTGACACCATGTATATTAATAGTAAAAATAAAAGAAGACACAAAAGAACCAAGATCCTCCGTATCCACTTCCTCCGTGGAAATGCAGTTCCTCCGGGCAAAGACTTCTCCTTTGAAAAGCTAGACCCAACATTATCTCTCAACAAAGGGTGGGGAGGCTTAGAGTGTGTCCCATTGAGATTGCCATCGTCGAAAACAAGCCCGTGATATGACGATAAATCTTGGAGAGACGACGAATGCCGCATATTGTTCTTATGCCCGGTGTGCGTGAAGCCAGAAGTATAAGCAGAAGAACCCCCATGAGAAGGCAATCCGGACGGCAACATATACCGAACGCCAGAGGCATGCGGACCCGAACCCCGGCCCTTTACCACCGAAAAGAGATCCGCAATCTTACTAAGCACCATCCTCTCCCCTTATCGAGACCGGAATACCAGAGGGTCTCACTCCCACAGTTAGTCCACCATCCCGGAAGCACTCATCCGCAGTCAACTACATGAAAACAGCCTCACGAGCTTCCCGTCGCCGGAACATCCCGAACCTCCAGCGCCGGAAAACAGGCGAACACCGGCACGCTCGGCATTGCCGGGGAAAGCGGCTATCGCAAAACCACTCGATCCTGCAAATGTTGCGAAGCCGCGGTTCAGCAGGAGAACACGAAGAAACCGCAATAAAAAGAAAAGAAGCTTCTCCCTAACCCAATCGGCGATCAATCAGAACCGTCGAAACTAGAAACAGAGACTCACGGACATCGCAGAACAAATCAGATTTCCGCACAAGGGGACAAACTCTTTTCACTGAAAAGAGCCTCCGTTCCCGATTGCACACGGCATCCCAACGCCCCCACCGTTTCAGCACCGATCGACAGATTCGACACGGACAGCGATCGATTTCGAGAAGCCCAATGCAGGCAGGCGACCGTAAAGAATCGAATCAATCGGAGGTACCTGGCGATGGGAGGCGGTTCGCTTCCGTCAAGCACGGAAGTCACACTGCCGATTCTTCTTCTTCTTCTTCGTCTTCTTCTTCTTCGCCTTCTTCTTCTTCGCCTTGTTGTCGAGCTCCTTGTTCTCGATTCGATTTCGCACCCGCTGGATCTGCAGAAACTCCCAATTAGCTCGACAACAAGGCGAAGAAGAAGAAGAGGAATCGAAGGGAGATTTTTCTTCACATCGAGGGGAGCTGTTGGATTTTTTTTTGTACCCTGCGATTCGCGTGCGTATTTACTGTGTGCGCGCGTAGCGTAAGTGCCGGTTGCCGTCGATAAGCAAGTTTTGGACGTCATATTTTTGTTTTTATTTTTTGCTTTTGTTTATGCTAATGTTTTTTTGCCCTTTCAACTCGTTTTTTTTTTTGGGTGTTTTTTTTTTAAAGAAATAGCAACTCTCTCACCGAAATAATAATAATAATAATATAATCGCTCTAACTTTTACATGAGAATTCAAATAATTCCGTGGATTGGTATGAATTTGTGACAAAAGGAAGTTTTTTTTTGTCAATATAGGCTTTTTCGGAATATTTGAGGCGTACTTCTATTTATCAACAATATCTTTCGTTTCGTCCAAGCGGGATATGAAGTATTCGCCTTATTGAGTAGAATGCCTTTTGCTGTGGGTTACCGACTCTTAGTACCGAAATGGGTTCTTTACGAGAAAGAATTACTTCTATCAAAGAGGGATCCCTAACTTATATAAATTTGGAGTAGAATTAGAACAAAAAAAATAAGACTTTTTTTATCAAGACAATAGAAAGTCAAGGTCGCTCGCTACTTGTCTCCAATTAGTTAATTCTGGACCATCAATAAGTGTTCTTATCTTACTCTTGTTCGAATATGATATTCGTGTTCAGAATTAAGAAAAAACCTCTTGATGCAAACTATTCAAAAAAGTTAGGACACGCCACTACTAGCTCGTTCAAAAGTGAGTTAGGTCGAACAAGTTTAAGCACATGAGTCGCATTAATATTTTCATAAGTACAACTAAATGGGTTGATGTAATCTTAGCACACAAGGGTTATCAAGCCCATGAAAAACAAAAAAAATTTGGCGAGAGTTTGTGAAGATTAGAATGGTATTTCTGTGGATTAGTTTGATTTTTGATAGGGAGATTTGAGCAAAATACAATCTGTTTAATATTCAATGAAAAAGGGTGTTGAGAAAGATATAAAGAAGGACACATCTATCTTACTATACACGCATATCAATGCAAATCGCGGGCTTAGCTTAATGTCTAAGAGATGGAATATGGAAGCACTTTACTTAGGTCAATGGAATTATGGAAAGATATAGAGATGGACAAATAAAATATATGCATGGCCTCTATAAATCGGCAAAATGCATATAGTAAAGTTCCTTGAAAAACAAATCATTTGGAGGGTGCTTTTGCATACTTGCAAGTGATTTCTTTTTTTTTAATAATCCAGGAATACAAATATGGATGGCAAGCATAGATTTTTATCCGCGAATTGATCGGCATGACAATCGTGCCAATAAAAATCAGAAATAGATCCCGCCGTTTATTTGATATTGTCGATTGAAACTCACGGAAGTTAGGTATTAACAGTTACTAGATAGAACTTGCAATGAATAAATTGATTACTTTTTGTCCAAATTGAGCACGCAAGATCGAGATCATTCGGAATAAACTATTAGAAGATGCTAAACTTTACCTAACTAGAACAATAATTTGATTTGAAGACTTTGACCGATCGATCTGAACTCGATCACTGTCGTTTACCAAAAAGAGAATTTGTTGACCGTCTCAAGCCTTTACGTTTGGTTTGTTGTGGGATTTTTCCAAACCAAACACCAATGGGCCCCGACGAAAACTTCATGCCAAAGGAAAAAACGTGAAAGAACTGCAGAGACAGGATGCACAAAACTCAGGAATATCTTATCGTACCGAATACAGTAAAATATCTCACAAAGAAACCACGAACAGTAACATTCTATCGCAACACCATGTATCGACGAGAAACACTTATTCATGAATCGAATTAACTTTTACTATCAAGTACATTGATATACCTTAAGTCCAAAATAAACAGAAAGCATTCCGGTTTTACATGTATTCATATTCCTAAAATAGTTCTTATCTGATCTGGGGGATGCCTTGCCAATGATCTTGGGTCGGAGTATCCGTTATTTGGATCCATAATCGCGTTATAAATGATATCGTATGCTTCTGCCAGGGACTTGGCCACCTCAACACAGGCTTCAGACCGCAGCTTCGGGACTTGCATCTGCTCGAATTCAGGAAGAGAACTCTCACTTCCCAAGAGAAGGCCAAAGAAGGCCTTCAAACAATCTGACAGAGCAGCTGGGGATGTGTCTTCAGAATCTGCCAAACAGGTTCCACTGGTTGCGGTGCTCGTCTCCTTGTTGAGGGCAGCCCGAAAGAGAGGCATCTTATCCGATAAACCACATCTTCTAAGAATGGCATCGACTTCTTTTTCCACAAGAACATGCAAGTGTTTATCTATCAAGGATCCCAGGTTCTTCACATATTCAGTGGCTACGGCATGCCCGAGCAATGGCTGTTGAATGGCACATAGGCAGTTGATGAGGAATATCTTGGATGGCCGCTCGCTATTCTGCATATTAAATAAAAATGGAAATCAGAACTCAGAAGCGCATAGAAAACCAGAAGTAAACAAGAAATATGTAAGTCAAATACGACGTCAACTAGAACATGGCCAATTCAGGTTTGTAACAGTCAAATATCATCGTCTTCCCGAAGGAAGAGATATGTAAGTCAAATATCGTAGTCTTCCCAAAGCAATTTTCTTGCAATTCAATTACTTTGAAACACTCTGCTAAGTGAATTTGATTGAATACAAGAGTAAGCAAAAGAGTCGAGCTCAGTTTCAGCTCGACCCTCGAAGGATACCGAGTGAGTCAATATTGATTATGGAGCATTTCATATATATTCTGAGACTGAATTCAAGGACAGATAAAAGTATCCTATTGAGCTTGAGCAGGATTTCAAGTTTCCATGTTTTAGACCGTGGCCCATTCAGGTTTGTGACAGTCAAAACCCTCAACTGACAAGGCTCAACTACGTGGGCTGGGCCTAATTGACAGCCACTGTGAGCTGTGACATTCTACTAAGTTGAACTAGGACAGATACCACATCTTTTCCTGATATAAGGGGTTGTGGTAGACTGGAAAGGGTTTTAAATGAATAGCATATTCTGTTACCAATTATATTTACAGTGTTTGGATGCATTTAGTGAATCGGAATATTTTTTTAAATGAAAATTGTAATTGCTGTATTTTGCAGGATATGAATATTCTGCAGGACGCGCACAACTATGCTCTACTGATCCAAACCTTTCCATCGTGCATGATGATTGGCTAAAAAAAAAAACAAAGCGAGGACAAATGTAGTTACAGCATCAACTTCAACATATGGGATTTATTTTGGCCGGATAAATGCAATGAAAAAAGCTGGGAAAAAAAAAAACATGGCTGGAAGCGAATATCATAGAGGAGAAGTTCTAATAACCTGAATTGAGGAAGCAGGGCTTCCATTTGACAAGATGGCATCAACAGATGATTTACTAATCTGACTCGAGTCAGAACTCATTCTCCGTCTTGATGAGTGACCAGATCCTTTTGATTTGTGTGCTTCTGCTGCTTGCTCACACATCTGCAAGCAATAATTAGAAGAACAAGTTTTTCATCATCCTTCTCATGACAGTTTTATCAACCATCTCAGCAATTAATTCTGCAGGGAGTATGTCAGCTTGGAACAATTCTCATCTTTACTAAGATTCTGGAGGACTCTAGTGACTTGATTGGGTCTGCGTAAACTTCATTAACATGATACATTTTGCTGTTATATTGTCTTCTTTTTACATTAACCAATAGAAAAATTCAGTACATCCAAGCACAAAAGTAAACCTGAATAATAGGATCAAGCATGGCCGAAATCACTGGGTCAAAGTCGGGTTTCTTAGCGGACGCAGGTACCATCATGCTGTTGTGGATCTCAATTATTTCAAGCAACACTGAGACTCCATCCCTAACTGCCGATGGAGGAGACAGGTCAATAGCAACAAGTGGAGGATAACGCAATAGCTTTTCTCCTCTGCTTCTCAAAATTTCAAAAAATGTCCTCTGAGCTGCATCTTTTAGGGCCCAAATCGTGTTACAGAGAGCTGTGTCCCGCCCAAGCAGATCTGATATCTGCACTAAACAGTCATAACCAGTAAAAAAGGTGTGGGATTAGAAAGAATGTATACAAGAAGAAAGAGCTCAACTGACCGTGTAGCTGTAAAACTCGAGGGTGTTGCTAAGTTTATATGATACTATAAGGCTGGGTTGAGATTGCAAGGCTTGTTCAACTCTCACTTTGAATGGCCGACATACTCCTTCGAAAATTCTATCCAGAACAAATGTCATGTCAGATTCTGCTTTCCCAGAACCATTTTCTAAGTTCTTCGAGAAACGAGTAGCAGTTGGCCCAGTATCCACTACTGCATCTGGATCGAGTAATGCCAGCACAAGCTCTCTCTCAGATGCCAAGGACTGCAAGAAAGCAACAGACATCAGTTATATTAAATGTGATTATCTTTTAGAAATCATGTTTCACCACCAAACATTTGCATTCTCACAATATTGAAACATTTTAAATAGACATCATAGGGACTAAGTCCACAAGTAGCAGTAGAATGAAAATCAGAAGATAGTCATCTCAACACACCTGATGTAGCCATCCCAGCATGTCGCCTACATATCGCAGAGGATCATGAGCATGTACTTCAATGGGTCTTGGCATTCCACCAGGTCCTCCTCGTGTAAGAGCACTAATAAACCTTCTAAACAATGCATGGTGTCTCATATTGGCAACCTATACAGGGAAAGAGTTAATAATATTAGTTAATAGGGAAGATAAGCGCTTATCTTACAGTATGTCAGACTTCACCTGTGGCTTGATATCGAACTCTACTACAATTAAAGTAAAGTACCTCCTCTGCACAATATTTGAAAAGCACAGGCCTCTCTTTCAGGCAACGAACAGCCGTTCTCAATAGCTCACTGACTTCAGGATTATCAGTGTCACCCA